CTGCCCTTATTTGCACTGTCCTTTCTCTCTCCATGAACTATGAAGCATCACTAGCTACTGCAAAGCCAGGTCCAGAGCTGGCCTAACACAGACATGAGAGTGGACAGTTACTATCAGTGCTGTCCAGAGACCAAGAAACTCCTTCTGGCAAGAGTGGTTTGTTATCTAGTGGCCTTGTTCCCCTTAGTGTCCACCTACTTCTCCTCTATCCATCGCTTTTAGGAACTTCCTGAGACTCAGGTGCAACCCAGCCTTGGGATGCTTCAGCAGAAAGCCACTGAATAGAGCTATGGCCCTCACTGGTGTCTAGGTAGCCTGCTTGCCTAAGGGTAAAAGCGAAAGTAGAGTCTGATCTGGCACCTTCCAAATTAGGGGCGAGGGCTTCAGGATATCCCCTGAATATCCCAAAGAATATCACAAGATGAAAGGCTTCTCTCAGATGGAAACAGGTAGTTCAGTATGCTACAGCCTACCTCTGTTAAACAAGTTTAAGCCACAGGAAAAAAAACCCAAACCAAACCAAACCCTAGGCTTGATTAAGGAAATATTTACAGACCATTTACGAGCAAGGAAGGCAGCTTGATTATTTCAACAAGCTGCCTGACCAGCCCTGCTCCCCTACCAAGGCTGCTGGAGCCAGCGGTGTTGCATGATGTGTAGCAGCGTGACCAGAAGCATCGCTACTGGGTGGGGGGAAGAAGCGATAGCAAAGAAGTAGAAGTGGACACCATCATGATCCTAGTCTTGTGTCCTGACACTTATAGCTTCTGCGCTTCCTGCCATCCCATTCTCCAGAGCTGGGGTAGCGATACCGGTACACCTCCTCCCTTTGACAGCAGGGTAGAGGGATTCACATGGAGTTTCTTCCTCCTTTTCTCAGGCAAAGTGTCAGAGGAGCACTGCCCATGTGCTGGTATGCTTGTACAGCACCGAACACCATAAAGTCCTGTTCTTAGCTGACCCCTGGCTGTATATGCTAAAATATTTTTGTTATCAGGCTTGTCATAAACAGAGGATCATGACTTCACTGAAGATCACAAACCTGTGCAAAGAGAAGATAATTTTATCCCAAATGGAACTGCAAAGATCTGGACTACATAAGAAAGCAGGGCTACCAATAAAGCAGTTTTCTGAAGAAGTTTTCTGCCTCGTCTAATCCTCAGCTTAATGCAGCTGATCCCTTCTCCTCTTTGAAAACAGGATGCACGTTTTAGTTATAGAGTAACACCTATGATATCAACTTATACAAATAGCTTCCACAGCTGCCTTGTTCAAGAATTTCACCATCCCGAGAGAATATTTCTGCAGGATGACAGACACACTGGATAACGCCTTGTCTTAAACTGGGCACTTAGAATATACCACCTTCTCTGTACTGCTGCTCAGTGCTGTTCTATAGCAGTGTCCAGGAAACAGAAAGCAAGATGCATGTTTAAGATTGTTAAAAAAGATTACCAGTCCGGAGATGAATTTTACCAGTATTTTGTACTTGAAATACATTGAGCATGGTGAGCATTGTTGAGTTATTTCAGTCAGTTTGGGCTCCTATCCAGTACTTCTAAAAAAACCCCATGGCTAACGTGCAGCATGATGGGATAGTCTTTGGCGAGGAACATCCAGGCAGTTAATTTAACTGTCACATCGGTGTCTTGTAATGGTACAGTTTTAGAGCCTGGCTCACCGCAAGCAACTAGACACCGCTCAGAAGGAAGGCCATTTCAGGACTTTGCTGAAGAACCCACTGAGCCTGGAGGACTAATAAAGTCAGCAACAGTTGAAACAAGGTTAGCAACATGGCCTGAAGTCCTTTTTATTTTTCTTGGCGAACCCGAAGGATCTGTTAATGGAAATATCATTTCTGTAAAATGTTTTTAGACTTAAAAGACGGTTGTAAGAGACAGCTTTTTCACAAAGGAACCAGAATGGAGAGGAATAGGATGAACTTCACCATTCGGGAAGTTAAGACGTTTAGACTGAACAACGTAGCAGCATACTGCTCGGGAGATGCCAGTGTTAAAAGTGGGAAGGGCAACTTTAACGTAGACCTGTGAATGGGTGTAGCAGTTTGTTTATTAGAGCAAATACCCTTTCCTTTCATCATTATTCAGTGACTAAGCATGGACTTGTACCTCAACTTTGTCTATATTTACTGTGGCCTGGACTACCCGACACATTTTGAAAGGGTGTTTTGCTGTTCATTGCTTTTATCAATTCAAGAGGTTAAGGAACAGAACAAAATTATCAGATAATGGATGTCAAAACCAAGGAAATACTTTCCCCCCCTCATAAAATCAAGGTGTAGAACTTCTTGCTGCAGCAAACTGTCGAAACTACAAGTATATAGCTGATTAATAAAAGGGATGAGACAAAATTACTGGAAACTAAATCCATCAGCAGCTGTTGCAGATACATAGCCTGCAGCTCTGGAGGTCTACTAGAAAAAAAATCCCAAAAAACAACAAACAGTAACTGTGAGAAGATAGGAGCGTGTAAACCATGGAAGGATCGCTGTCTACATGCCCTCTTTCTCTGACTACCTCCTGTTAGCCACTGGCTGATACCATGCAGTGCCCGGTCCACTGTGCGCTGTCCAGGAGGCGCATGAAGTGAGCAGAGCTTTGGAGGGGAAGGAGTACCCGGTTACATGACTGAGAACTGCGTTACTCACAGACTCACATGCAGCAACAGTCCCTGCTGTGATGCTTTTTTGAGTGCTTAACTATGTCAACCTAAATGCTTTTGTGTTTTTTATGATACATATTTAGAATAGAATAAGGAAGGTGTCTGTGCAAATGCAGACTTATTTCTCAACTACAGAGTTAGAGATTATGGTCCAAATTTTGCTAGTTTTAATGGTATTCCTTCCTACCACTCATACTTTCCTCCCAGTTCTGCCTTGAAATTCAGCATGTCAATCCATTGCAGACATTTCTTATAGTCTAGATTATTTCCTGGCTTCCTGCCTTCAAACATCTACATTCCATAAGCACCAAAAACTGTCCACACAGTATATAAAAGTTGATAGGTTTGAAGCGCATTAGTGATACTGTTTTTCCAACACCTTAGAAATCACTTCTACATCTTTTAGCCTATGTATGTATAATAGGATTTGCTTCCGAAGTCTCTTTACTCTCGCTTGTCATTTCTGTATGCAAAATACTTCAGAATAACCCAACTAATAAAAAGACCAATTCCACTGTAGAAGTAAGTAAAGATGTTAAAGGGAAACTTTGTTCTCTGCCTACCTCACTCCCCTCCTCCCCCCCCGCCTTTTGATTGCTGTTTGCTTTACTTCAGGACCAAAAGTCCAGCTGCTTTAAATCTAAACACTGCTCAGGACATATGGCAACAAACAGCAAAATGAGTTCCAGTGAACATGGTGAGCCATATCCTTCCTAGATATTCACACAGGCATTCAGCCAAGCACTTTGATACTTTGCTATGATAGAAGAGCAGTCATTTCACAATGAAATCTTTGGGCTAGAACCTACAGAATCGAGCAAAACTACTCAAAACAACCATAGAGATTACTGCAGGTTGACGAATACAATGCAGTTAGTCTGGTAAGCAGCATAAGCTCAATAGTTCTGAGGGAGAAGGTGTCTCTAGAGACCTGCATAGCACAAAGCATCAGCAATACAACCATCTCCCATACTGTTTTTTTCAAAATGCCTGATCCTGGTCTGGGATTGTTGAGCTGCTTCACACTTTTGATATCCATCCGTCAGAAGATTAGCAGTGCCGTTCAATGCCAAGCGTACAGAGGGGTTTCTGGTACTCACAGAGCTGAGCCACAGCACACACTGTTACTAATCTCAGAAAGGATGAACACTTTACACTCTTCTGATAAAAAGTTTTGGTCATTTACCAACCTAAGTAGACAAAAAAAGAAAAGGCAATTGTGAGCTGTCATCTAAACTCTTACGATTGTTTGGATGTTCTAAAGAGAGTTCTCTCATGAAAAGTCCAGAAGTTCTGAGGGAAGTCAATTATCATTTAACACTGACAGCCTGTCTAGAAGATATTACGATTGTGCCTTTGCTCAAAAGAGACACATCAAACCACGAAGTAAAGGTCATGCAGCGCTACAGAATGAGGCCTTCTGGTCCACAGTGTCAGCCTCAGGGGGTACCTAGATCCTCCACGTGCATTTCAGCTGATCTACAAAGCTGTGTCAATACCCCACTCCATGACCTGCGAAGTCAGCTCTGCGGAAAGCAAGTAGGGGGATATCGAACAGCACACACCAAGTGAGCGAGACCACCAGATTCAGCCTCCAAGTGCCAAACAGGCTCTGGCTCAAGCAGTGTAGGAGAAGCATGCTCCTGCCCTCTCCTTCCCATGCAAGTCAGAGCAACTTTCCCAGAAAGGGACCAAACCATTTTTATTTTTTTTAAACTAAATGCTTTTAATAGAAAACAAAATACAAAATAACTCTTTCCAGAAAGCAGAAATATTTAATCTCTCCAAATGACAAACTAGAACGTGCTTTTTCTGCAGATCCTTGTTGTAAATGCTGATGATTTATCTCACAAAGTGTTCATGAAACTGATATTGCAACATTTTGAGAAAAATCCAACACCGGCAGAGCTGCCTCTGTGTACATACAATAATTTAGTAATACTATTTTTTCCCATGTCACTTTGTGTGTCTCTTTCTCCCCGTCCCCCTCTCCCTAGACTGCCAACTTCCATTTACGGAAATATTTCTGTGAGGTGCAGTGGTGGATTGACATGCCCCATTTCCATTAGGAGTCCAAACTTAGCCACTTCAGTTCTATTGCGCCCTCCCTCCAGACAAGGCAAGTCGTTTATTACCCTTAAAGCCACCGCTCTACCCCCACTGTCCTCCCATCCTCAAAACACAGTGCAACCAGATTTAGAAAGATCCCTAATTAATGGAACATAAATAGAAATATCACAGCTAGTACCAGGAACCAAACCCAAATGACAATGCAGAGATGGGCCCCAACTGAGGTCAGATTTCCATTCCCTTACTAAAAAGAAAGATGGTATTTTCTACTTAGCTAGTCCAAAATATTCCAGAAGTGCTATAGGGAGCTGTAATATTTAGGACCACTTTCACTGTAGAAAATACATAATGTTCTTTTAACAGAAGGGTCTTAAAATGCTGGTCCTCTGCGGTACCAGGAAAACAAAAGCAAAACAAAACAAAAAACACTGTGCCAGTAGTTCTCCACACACTCAAGCCTCAGTTAACAGTAGGTAAGATGTGCCCATCAATCAATGCAGGATATTTAAGTGCAGATCAGCAGCTTATCTGGTTGGCAGTTTCACTTGTCTGGACCAGGCTTTCGGTTTCCCCAAGCTACTGGATTTCCTCCCCTTTTCCCCATCCCTACAAGTATAAGATTAGAACGTATACATATTTTCGTCACTCCACCTTTTTTCCTTATTCCGTTCAACAGCACAGGCCTTTTTGTAGGCAAGACATTTTAAAGCATTTGCATCACTCTGAACATGCCTTTCAAGGGGGTAGAGGAAGAAGAGTGTTTCACAGTCAGTAATCTCAGCTTGCAATGGACTCTGGCATTCAATACACCCACCCACTTCCCTAAGAAAAAAAAAAATTAATGTTCCTGATTTTCTTGTGCAATTCCAGTCACTAGAAGAAGATTACAGGCCATAAACTGTACGCTCAGTACATTATTCATTTGTCCGGTATATACACCAACCAGTTCACTGGAAGACCCATCTGCAGGGGCATTGCAGTAAGTGTTCCGAATGTCCCAGACCCGGACTGAATTGTCCATCGACGCTGAAGCAATTAAACTACTGTCGGGGCTAAAAGTAAGGCTGGTTATGTTGTCCGTGTGCCCCCTCAGTTCTTTGTAAAGAGTTCCTGACGCCAAGTCCCACAGCTTTAGCCGCTGGTCTTCACCTGCTGATGCCAGGTACTTACCGTTGGGAGAAAACGCAAGCGCTAGCACGGGGCCACGGTGCCCGGTGAAAAGACGCACCGAGTTGCCTTGCTGAGTGCTCCACAAGCGCACAGTTTTGTCCGTGGAGCCCGTCGCTAAGTAGTTGGAATTGGGGTGGAACTTGACACAGTCTACGTCCGCCAAATGGCCTGCATATATTCGCAGCGGGTACGTCCGATCAAATGACCAGAGCCTTGCAGTGCGATCGTGGGAACCACTGGCAAAGTACAGGCTGCAGGGGCTAATATCCAAATCCCAGACAGGATAGGCATGGCCTTGGTACAAGACAGTGTTTGTAAAACTTCCGAGGTCCCAGTATCTGATGGACATGTCCTCAGAACAAGATAAGAGCCCCGAACTGTCTGAAAGAAACCTCGTGCTATACACAGGTCCACAGTGTCCTCTCAGGATCTTCATTTCTGTGCCTGCGCTGTCATCCTCTTCCTCCTGGTCAGGGAGGAGAGAAAGAAACAAGAAAGGAAAGCATGTTTATCTGTTCAACAATACAGGAACCACCATGAGGAAAATGGGCGGGTGTTAATACAGAAGTTATTTTGGACGTGGCACATTTTTTGCAACTCAGACACGAACGCATTTGCTACATCTAAGTTAATGCTGAAAGAGACGGTGAGATAAACCTTTTGGTGAGATAAACCTTTTATATACAAAGGTTTTATCTTCATTTTGGGTAGCCTCATGCTCACTCCAGAAGGCACCTTAACCTGGTACTGTACGCAAACAGGGAAAAAAGAAATATTTTATGACATTTTTCCACTTGCTAAAAACATATGCTTATTCCCTACCCGCTCTCTACTAAACTTTTGGCTAAGACATTGAAACAGATCTTGGCATCTGCTCTTTTGGTGTGGTCATTATTGGAAGTGAATCTCACAGTAGAGAAAAAGAAACACAGATGTCTTAAACAAAAGGCAGGAGATGGAAAGACAAAGCATATTTGACAAGCTGTCTGCTGGACATTCCTTCTTAGCTCCACAAGCGAGCAGTAACCCAGTAAGGCCGTAATATCTATTTCTCCATGCAAGCTCTATCAGGATGCTTTCACATCCTCACCCTTCAAGAACTGCCTTCAAGAATAGCAAATGTATGCAGCTTGTTTAGGTCAAAGGATCTATTTTGGGGCAGGAGAAGATGAATAATCACAAAAAGGACGGCACTAGAAACCTTTTTATCCTGCCATTCTCCAATTCAAGTACCAGGGCAGACAGTCAACAAGCAAGGGCTTTCACATTTAAAGACTGTTCAGTGAACTGTGCTAAAGGAATCTCCCAATAGAGGGTAAGAGTCTCTGAAAATCTACTCAGGTAGCACCCCTTGACACTCAGAGGCTACAGACAGCACAAGTTTCAACAAATCTCAACTCAAGAGAGTGTCCTTCCTGACGAGCTGGTGTCTCACTGACAAAATGCAAGATAACCATGGCCTGGGGTGCACCTGTGTAGTAGCTCGAGACCACCCTTCCTGTCAGGCAGACACTTTCCCTCAGTACTGAATCAGTAACACTCATCCACAGACGATCTCTGCACATCAAATTCAACACAACGCCCTTTTGTTTGTGAGCAGCCCCTTTAACTTTTATCATCATAAACTGGCCGTTTCCTGCAGAAGGAGCACTTCCTGCCCCGAGAGGAAACCCAATTCCCCAGGGCTGCCGGACTGCTGACGACCAGCAGAAGTCAGTGCATCGTGAGCGGCTCTCTTAGCTGACACGACATCCCCCGTCCCTCCGACCTCAGGACCCACAGACAGTTTTGCTTCAGACTGAAAGCCCTTCTCCTCCAGTGGTTTCAAATCTCACATTAGAGGTGAGCAAACTCTGACTTAGCTAGCTTGCTGCCTTTCTCCATCTCAGCTGCATGTTTAGTGGTAGGCAGCAAGCTGTGTTTAGCAATGCTAATTCTCTTCAGTAGTCAGTGCCCATGGGAGTTTTATGATGTGGCTGGGAGCCAACTTCATCTCTACTATGGAGGTGAGGCAGAGAGAAATTGCAGGCTCTAGCACGCAAAGCCCCATTCTCATTCAAATTGCTTTTTCTACTTCAGATAGAGCATTGCTTGCTGGAATCCACAGCATCTCTAGGCTATGTTACCACATTAAAGGAAAGAGGCTGATACCTGCAGCATTTTATACTATTTAATTATGACCATAAGATTCCTGACAAGTTACCAGTGGAAGCCCATTTAAAGTTACCTGTATTGTACTATAGTTTTTGTAAATTCCGCAAGTCCAGGTATTTAATTTTATGCCTCCAAATTCATAGAGGGCTACTTGGGCTGTCTGCAAGCACATACTCTTTTTCTTTACAAGCACCTAACTCTTCTTCTCTTGTATTACAGCAGCAGCTTACTTGAAAATGCCTGCTGAAGCATTCAAAACCACACTCCTATACGCTCACAGGTAGCAAATCTCATCTTTTACTTCTGTTTGACACCCACTTAGCGTAACAACTGCGCACTGCTGTTATAGCTTACCGAAAATGGTATACCTATAATGCTTCTTCCGTTTCCTCCCTATCCAAGTTAGTCTGCTGACCAGATTAACAAAGCAGCTGGAAGTGCAGCCACTACGTTACTGTCTTGCAGAACCAAGCTTCATTTCTTTGTCAGATCAAGCACACTCTTCCTTGCATCCCATAGCTACTACCATGTAGGTAAGCATTTACAGCAGCTATAGAAAGGTTGCAACCTGTGTTACAAATCACCAGGAAGGCAGGGAATCCCTCTTCATAGGATTTTTTCAGGATGCCAATTTCACGCATGGAATATGTTTCCTGGATATAACATACCACTGGGCATTACCCAGGTATCCATTAGCTCCTTCTGAAGTGGTTGCTGCTGCAGGATAGCATGAATGATTTGTATTTCCTTGGAATGGAAAAGAAGATAAGTTATATAAGCCTATTTCCATCAATAACCTAGACACACACACACACACTAAAAGCTACCTTTTATTATTTGTACTAACCATTTTGAAAAGAACAACTATGAAAACAGATTTTAAGTAATTGGATAGAACTGGAAAACCTACGAACACTACTAAAATAAGCTAAAAAAAAAAAATTTACTCTTCAACAGTGAATAGGAAATCTACTGAGCAAGTAACAAGACTCCCAAAAAGTATATTATTAAGAAACCGAAAAGAGTAAAAATGTTGGCATGTTTTGTTACACAGGACACCTTCCAAATGATACACCTACGGACAGACTGCCCAACTCCTCAGCTATTACTGAAATCAGTAATGGATTTTGCACGACAATCATCTGGACCCAGAAAAATTTACTGCCAATGCGTTTAACCTTGTGAGCAGCAAACATTATCTAGCTAATAAGAATTATCTTGATCTTCCACCCAGCATAAGCCTCAAGGGAATGAGTGAGCCTCAAAAAGCAATGTTATAAAACAAAGAAACCATCTTCCCCCCCCCCCCCCTTTTTTTTTTTTTTTCCCCCCCTTTTTTTTTTTCTAACTAGTAACAGGTTTCCCTGGGTGTCGTCATATCTCTCATCCTGCAGTGCTCTTAAGAGGTCAAAAGGGAAGATCTCCCACCTGCCTACAGTAAGAATCTCCTAGCAGGGAAAGATGAGGGAGTAGATACCATGGCTCTCTTTGCAGGACATTTCCTACTGCTCCTTCCAGAATTCCTTCCCATCTGCCATCCACCAAGGCATCAGCATCATCCCCGCTCACTACCACTTGAAGGACTGCTGCCACTCAAAAGCAGAAACTTAGAAGCAGAGCTGAATGGGGTCAAGTCTTAGTCTTCACAGAATTTAAAGGCTGCCACTCCTGCAGCTTGGAATAGAGAGTATTATTTTCTGTTGTTGATTTATGTAGTATCAGCGATGAGCATGGCAAAATTGCAAAGAGACAAACAATACATCCATTTGCCCGGCTGAAAAACTGCACTTTTATACTGGACCTTAAGTAAGAGAGGCTATAAAGTGGCATTTGTGTGATGCCACTGAAGAAAATGGAATCACTTTATCCCAAAATAGTAAGCTTCTCCTATTTCCAAGAAGCAAGACAACACTGGTGAAGTGCATTAGGGCATCACACTGAGAAAAATTCACTAAAACTATACCTAGTAGAAGACTTTGACCTTACTGACACAAAAGCTTTACATAGACTAGGAAAAAGCATCGTTCTCCAACACTTTTGCCAAGTCTCAACCTCATTTTTCTATATATACAAAAACAGTTAATAAACTCAATAGTCTAGTTGTAATGCCATCCTGAACGAGATCCACTGAAATGTGCACTTTTAGACCTCTGTGTCTTCATAAACAGAAGGATCTATTTGCTTGCAGCAAATCAGAAACCAAGCTGAAGATTAATTATTTCAGGCACTACTATTTAAATATAGTATCCAAAGCTAACTACACAATACAGAAATCAACCAAAACAAACAAAATGAAGAAACCTTACAAAACCCAGCCAAGTTTAACATCCTCACAAGTTATTGTATAGAACTCACTGAAGTAATGTCAAAGCACATTCAGAATTTTTGTTCTTTGTCAAAGTTTTCATGAGATTTATTGCTGTGAATTGTTCCTGATCATACTGCAGTGACAGTCTGAAACACAGCCCCTGTTCACACTGAGCTGCATTACTGGTGACTGCAGCCCTGTCAGGGTGGGTGGTCTTGTTTGGTCTCTCTTAGTATCTGGTCTGTTCCCACCTGCGACCCCACGGTGCCAGTGTACTTTCACTTTGGGCTCCCAGATACTGGAATTTATTTCCTTTGTAGTCAGTAAGCTTTCATTTACATTTGGGACATGGAACCAGCAGTGCGTTCAGGCTGGTACCCCGCCCTCAACTTTAAACTCCTGGTCAGGTCACTGTTTTGTCAATGGCGAAGTTATTCAGGGCAATGATGACTTTGATCTGTGCTGGTCTTTGACCGGTTTTTGGTTTTAGACCTGTGCATAAATACTGCAGAATACACAAAATATTAAATAGCCAATGAGAGCCATTTGTACTCAAGCTTCTGCAGCCATTTCATAATACACGTACGATATGCAAGTATGCGCCTACGTGCCAAAAAAAGCTAATACACGCTCCTGATAACCTCGCAATATCTCACTTTTTTATAGTCTGGAGCCAAAGGAGGTGACTTGCTGATTTAGCAGAGAAATTCTCCTCTGTCACAGGTTATCGACATTTGGTTTCCATGACAGGCAATACACACAGTCATGTGTCCTATGAACACTTACAGCTTATAATGAAAACAAGCCCGTAACTCCATCTTGGGCTAGTATGACCCACTTACCTGCTCATTCTGCAGAAAGGGTTAACCTGGGAAGCAGTGAGCACGCCGCTGTGCTATCTCACCTGGATGCCTGCCTCTAGTTCTCAAGCTGACTAGCAAGCAAAGCAATCCCTAACCATAGATCCCTGCATAAAGCCAGCTCTCTGCACTCTTCCAAAATAAACAGAACCCTGCCACTAGGTATTTTTTACGAGAAGAAGAAAAAACAGTGGAAAAAAGGATGTTTCTCCTGCTAAACACTCAACACAAGAACAAATGAGGCTTCTTCTTTTTTTTCTTTTTTTTTTTTTCCTCCTTCAAGAGGGGAGTGATTAAACAAAGGAAGAGTCACAAATTCTGATCTCTAACCAGATATAAGATGCTACGTGGGCAGCTGTGGTGAGAGAGGAGGAAGGGTGTGACTAGAAGGCAAAAAAAAAAAGAGTAAACTAGAAGATGCTATCTAGCCTGGCATGTGAAGGTACATACATCCTTGTCCTTGTCTCCAGCACTCCAGAGTGGGAAGCCTCTGAAGTTTCTACACTGCAGATTCCTTAACAGAGATATTTTGCATAATTTTTCCATGTTAACTCTTCACCACTGGTTCAGGTGATTCCTCAAATACAGTTTTGCACTTAGGCATCCCTCCTTTTTCCTGAAGCCTCAGACCAGCCTCCTTTGTCTCCTTCCTTACTTTGTCTTTATTTTCCTCTTCCTGCGTCTCTCCCGTTCTCTCTACCCTTCTGACTGGTTGTTCTGAGCCACTTCGTAGTTTTCATTCACCACAGTGTGTTTTTAGTGCCCACATCTCCTCGTTTCCTCTTCCCATCTGTAAGAAGGCTCCATGCTCCTCAGGGAAGGGAGCCTTCTCTAGTCACCTGTCCTTACTGGGCTGCCTGTGTAACATCATCTGTCCAAGGACAGCTGGAGGAGGGGGACCAGCACTTAGGACTAACAAACTATGACCCGAGCACAAACTCATTGCACCTCAGTGCAGCATTTACAACCACTGCAGGAAAGAGCAAGGACGAGAGTAGGCTACAAAATTTGTGCGTCAAGGCAGACAGGTTGTGGAACAGCCTCACAGTCCCCCAAGACATTACTAGATACTCCACAGTGCATGCCCAAAATACCTCAGCAGA